ATACTTTGCTGGGTACCATTCTGCTCCTGGCCGCCTAGTAAGGAAAAGATGCATTTTAAATAAGGTCACTGAGGACCGTCTACTCTCATAGGTGGAAGATCACAAGTAAAGTTTAAACGCTAGTTGTTAATCTCTGATGCCTGGCTATGTAATACTATATGTTACTTCACATTTTCCCATATTTTCAAGAAAGTTAATTTACAGAGTAAATAAAAGCAAATTCCCTTAGACTAAATACAGCTAATAGGAAATTAGGATCCCTTGGTACTTCCTTTCTTATAATTCATGAATACCAGCATTTACTATCGCCTGCTCTGTGGTCCCTGCGATGGTCCCTTTCTGTTGCACTGACCACATGTTACTGATCATCATGGTCCCAGTTCCTAGGACAGAGCCTGGCACGTAGCAGATGCTTAGAAATGTTCTCTGAGTAAACTGCCTTATGAGCCATTGTGAAAAATGGAGCTTTTAGGGCTTGTATCAGTGAGTCCAGAGATGGGAGAATGGAAGCAGCTGGGAAAAATAAGAGCACCGGAGCACAGAGCTTTCCCCACCAACGGGTACACGCACCGCCTGGGATACAGTTAAACTACCCCTGTACGCGGTAGGGCTGGGTCTGGGTCTGAGACTCTGCATTTCTAACAGGCTCCCACGTGATGCTAACACCGCCGGCTGAAGGACGACGTAAGCGTCGTTATGGGTAGAACAGCAGCCCCCTAGTGACGGCCATGTCCTAACCCCTGGAACCTGTGAATACGTTATGTTACATCCAAAGGGAACTTTGGAAATGTGATTAAGTGAAGAATCACAAGATTGGGAGATTATTCTGGATCATCCAGGTGGACCCAAGGGTCCTTAAAAGTAAAAGAGGGAAGCAGGAAGATCAGAGTCGGAGCTGCTGGCTTTGAAGGCAGAGGAAGGAGCCACGAGCCAGGGAGTGCAGGCAGCCTCTGGAACCCGGAAGAGGAGAGGGGTTCTCTCCAAGAGCCTCCAGGGGAAACACAGCCCTGCCCACACCTTCATTTTAGCCCAATGGAGCCCACTGGACTTGGGAATTGGAAGATAGCAATTGGAAGATAATAAATGTGTATGTTTCAAGCCACTAAGTTTGAGGCAATTTGTTACAGCAGCAAAAGTAAGCTAACACAGGTGCTCAGAGGCCTGAACTCAGATGGGCAGATTTCTGTGAAAAGCATTCTTTGTGGTACCTACATGCTCCAATCTAGCTTCCTTCATATCGCCCAACATTCTGTTGTTCAGTGTGAAATGTCCCCGACCTATTTGAGTTAATGAGTCTTCTTCAAATGAGACACAGATGCTCTGAGGCAGTGTTTCCTAAAGTATGGTCCAAGGACCACTTCCATCAGAAGCCCTGAGATGCTGACCCCATTACAGATCCACTGAACTGGAATTTCTATAGACTGGGATCCGTGAAGGTACAGTATTAGCAAGCATCAGAGGTCATTCTTAAGTACACTAAATTCTGAGACCCACGGCTTTAACTGCACTGGACCCCAGCAAAGAAGAAATCGACTCAGCCATATTGCTTCTCCCATGCCACGTGGCTGCCGTCAGCTGCTGCCATGGGGAAATGGGGGTCATGGGGAGTGGGACGTGGTTATTCCTGGACCACGGTGCATGTGGCATTCAGTAGGTCTTGGCTTGGAAGCTGTGCCACAGTGAGAGTACCATACAGCCAGGATCTGGAAAGCACCAAGAAGCAACTGGCAAACAGAGAGAGAGAACTGGGCATGCACCCCAAACAACCTTGTCTCCTCATCCATGAGTAAACTGGCTTCTTCAGGTTAAGATAAGAACCTGATCACCATCTAAAATTTTGTTGGCAAAAGTACATTCTGAATCCGAACCAGTGCTGGAATGTACCTGAGTTCCAAGTGTCGTGCCTGGAACACAACCCCACCTATTTTCCAGGAAGAACACGTAGCTAGTAAGTGGCAGAGCTGGGACCAGGGTATGGCAGCAGACATCTACGTTTAAGAGCTTACTGAGAAAAACCAAGCTTCTGCAGAGAAACCCTGAAACTTCCCAGACTCCTGCACAGGCAAGGGGAGTGCTGAGCAAAGGGCAGGACTCACCCGCTTTCCGAGTGTCAGTGGGAGCGCCCGTAGACATGCAGCCTCTTACGAGGTCCAGGTTCGTTTCATCCCTGCCTTCTCTTTCTTCAGGGACAACCATGCTAGCCTTTTCCCTGGGGAGAGGAAAACATCTTAAATATTTTGGAGCTAATTTCCATATTCCAGATTTTAATCTTCTGTAAATTATAAAATAGGAAGCGATCTATGTAAGTGCCGTGGCAAAAGAGGAGACAGGAGATGCACTGGAAGTAAGTATGTCCAGACAAGTGAGGGGTGAAGGGAGCAGAAAGAATTTCCTGGCTGGGTACTGCTCCTCATCTTCCAGAGCTAAAAAGACTTATTTAGTTTCTATTCTGTATGTAACTTCACCCACTTTGAGACAGGAAATAAGCCTGTGAAAAATGCCAGAAAGATTAAGAATTTCTATAAAAGCATGCTAAATGTGTTACTGAGCATTGAAAATAATTCAAATCATTTGTATTCCAATATTTTCAGAGTAACCATAAAGAGGGAGAGTTGAAAATCAATGACTGAGAAAATGAAAACATACATGGTAGAACTTTGACTAAAAAAACCCCAGGTGGGAGGCCCCATTAAACACTCTCAACTTTAAAGGAAAATCAAGATTAATACAAGAGAGCAAATTTCCAACAGAGGTTCAGACAGAAAAATCAACATCTCAGTAGAGCAGCATCAATTCACTCACATGTGCGTTTATTTAAAGCACTGACGGAGGCTACCACGTGCTGTGTGGGGTACTCTGGATGTAAGTATGGTTACCCAGTGAGTCCTGTCTTCAAGGGAGCTGTGTACCGCGAACCTGGTAGACTGACACGCCTGTACTAAGACTAAGATCTGTAATCAGGAACTGCAATCCCGACAAGACCCTCAACGACCACAGGAAGGAAGAGTAAGCCGGGTTTGCTGTAGTCTTATTTTTCAAAACCAGAGAAGTATGTTCTAATCAGTTCAGGAGACAGCAAGTACTTTGTGTCCCATTTGTGCCAGGGATGACAGAAGAGATGCGTAAGGCTAGGCCTCTTCCCTCGCAGGGCCTGCCACTGAGTTGAGGACACACAGCAGCTCGGTGAGAAGCAGCTGTGGCACTGAGCGCAGTAAGAGAGACGTGGGGAGATGGGACAAGAGGAGTCTTCAACAGCAACTAACGATTTCAACAGCAGCCAAAACAACAGAGCTTTCCAACGAAAGGGAAAAAAGCCAGATGGAGCAGCTCCCCTAGCACCCTGGGTACATGATGCTTTAGGACAGGGTTCCACCAAGAGACGCTACTGGAGAAGAGAAACCACACGGTGAAATTCTATACTACCTGACACAACAGACAAACGCAGTTATTTTTAGTATAACGTTGGATAAGTAGATCACAAGGGGCAGACATTAGCTCCAGCTCATTTCCTCCTTGTCATTCTCAATACCAGTGTCCAGCATCGCCCGAAGGATTCTCTGCAATGACAAGGGCCCTAGCAGCCACGTGCTACTGCTCCGTTACATCTACTAGTCTCCAGTTGAGAACAAGCCGTTCAGAAGAAGTACTGCTCTTAAATTCCTTTTTCTTTTACATTTGAGATCAACGTGGGGGATTTTTTCCCCTCTTTATCTCCACGTACCTTTCTGGCCAAGCTGTCACACATGGGGGTACCCTAACTTCCTGGTTAATTTGTAATCTGTGAGTGGCTGTGCAGCACAGTGGGTTAGAACACAGACTCTGCATCCATGTTTTGTGGATTTGAAACCACTTACTATGTGTCTAACCTTAGGCAAGTTGTTTAATGGCTCTGTCTCTCAATTTCATTTCTAAAATGAGGATAATACTAAAACCTAACCTCAAAAGACTGTTAAAAGGATTATATAATATATGTAAGGCATTCAGAATAGCTCCTGGCATGTAACAAGCACTACATAAATGTTAGCTGTTATTATGACCATACTTTTCTTGCAACACTGTAACCTCGTCCCCTAATTATCCGTGATTATGCTCAAAAACTGAAGATTCACTTCCAAGTGATTCCACAACTGTTTCAATTACTGTTAAAACAGTTAGTTTACTATGAAATGTTATAACTGCAAATTGAATTTGAGGAAAAATATACTCCTTACATGAAATCAGAGTTGTGAAGAAAATATTGTCTTACTAACTAGTAACTCAAATTAATTTCACAGAAATTCTCCATAATTATAAATATTCAGTCCCTTGCTTTCAACATCCATCATAATTATTCAAGTTACTCTATGTGATAGACACAAAATGATTATTAAAAAATTCAGGTTCCTTTTTCCACTTCAAGCACTGAGGTCTCTTAATCTAGCTGTAACATCTTCAATGGCATCTGAATAGCCTGTACAACACGGAAATGCAGGGAGGAGGTGCTGAACTGGAAGTCTCTTCAAACGGGCTTTTTTTCAAGCCCTGATGCTAACCCATTTTGTGATCATACTTTCTAACTATGAAATTTCAAATAATCTTACCCCTTCCTTTGAAAAGCGGTGACCTTTACAAAACTATGTATACTCAGAATGTTATTAGTGATTTCTTGACCCAGAGAGCTTTTTATTATCAATACTCAGCAGTGTAATCTTTTTTCTCGTTACTTGTCATCTGTAATCTACTGATCTTCAGTCCAGCCAAACAGTCCTTTCGCTGCCAGTTCGCCTGATTCATTCCTTTCTGATTATTTTAAATAGTAGCACTGCTTTTGTTCTTACAACATCACTCATGGAGGTCCTGGCAAAAGTGCATTTTCTTATTCTCACATTAAATTTTTCTCTAAGTCCAGGCTCAGTGCAAATACTCTCTCAGCCATGCACCTCACATATATTTTGCTTTTCAAAACAAACACTTCTCAAATTCCCCGAGTTTTCTGGGAAAGTAAATATCTAAAGAATCTAAGCAGCGTAACTATCTGTGTAACATGGGAAGATCTAACTTACAATAGGTGAACACTCACCACAGAGAGAGTTCAGAAAATTATGCCAGACCATAGATAAACTTACACCAAAACCTGGTATGGAAATTATCGTAGAGATTGACATGTGAGACAGTCCACAGCTGCAGTTCTGCTGAGCTTTCCAGTACGTGCCAGGCTTATCAGAACCTTGTCACTGAGCCCTCTGATGCATAGAATCACTTATACAAACTGAATGGTGTGGGGTCCCCAATACCCTGCTACAGTCTACTTGCAGCGCTCTTTTCTAGGTTAGGTTCCCTGATGTACCAGAGAAGAGGTAGCTGCGGGAAGGAAGCCTGGAGCATAAAACTCACCTACTCAGATTCTGCCAGGCTCCTCTGGCTACAACACTGTGCAGGAAAGGATTAAGAGAGCAGGCCTGGGCTCCTTAAACCCTGAGTTTTCCCGAGAAGGGCCTGTCTTCTCTCCTCAGCGTGTCTTCCCAGAAGTCCTTGGCCAGCTTCTGGGAGTTGAGCTCTGAGCCCTTGGAATATTCTGTCT